TCTAAGTGTAACACAGAGAATGCGAAGATCACTCATTAATATTTTATCATCATTTGTCACCACCGTGTCATTATAATGAAATGTATATGTTTGATACATATATAATTTATTATATACATGTATATATATTATAATATTATATGCATTACAATGAAACACCATACATATATATATGTGCAGTTTCTAAGTCCATTCTCTTTATTCTCGAATTCTGCTTAATGTTATTTGAAAAATTTCCAATACGGCAGAATTCGTAAGCTTATAGCTTGACATATCTTTTTCTGTCATTCCATTCTAGGTAAAGACAAAAATGAAAATATCAAAATTTAAGGCTCTGAAAACAAGCACATGTAAATCATGCATTTCTTATGGCCCAGAACATTTTACGTTTTGAAAATTTGCTCCTATGCCAATCTTCAACGAAAAACACAGAAGAAGTTTATATATATACTCTTTTGCAAAAAATTCGAAGCACCAAGAAGGACTTTGCGATCGTGATGAAATTTGGTATGCAAAATCATCTTGATCGAGCATGAAAATGATCAAAGTTTCAAGGCAAATGAACAGGAATTGCGATCATAGCGCGCATACCTAGCGCGCAATTCGAAAAGTATAAAACCAGTAACAGAGGCGGAAAATTTATCTTTTTTGTTGCTGCCATTGTAATTCCGTAAAAAAGCAACTAAAGATGCCATTACGACGATATCGAAGACTTACAAACAACGACTTGGAACGTGATCGCATTGTAGGGTTGCGTGAAGCTGGGTGGTCATACCAATCAATAGGCCGCCACCTGCTGAGTACAGACACTGCTGTGCAAAGATATTGGCAGCAATGTTTGCTACAAGGAAATTGCCGACGAAATGAAGGCTCTGGAAGGCCAAGGAGCACAAATACGAGGCAAGATAGGATGATTGTTCGCCAGGCTCGAACCGCCCCAGCGAAATCATTGTCGACTATTCAGCGCACTACAGTGACGTCTATACCTCCCGTTGTACCGTCCACCATCTAACGGCGCTTGTCTGAGGCAGCTTTACGCTCACAGAAGCCTTTAAGACGTTTGCCTTTGACCCGGCAACATTGGCTAAGTCGTCTGGAATGATGTCGCAACCGATCATCATGGCTGCCATCAGACTGGCATCGTAGTGTTCAGCAATGAATCCCGCTTCACTTGTGAAGCAGATGACTACCGTTTTCGTGTCTGGACAGGACGGGCCCAGCGGTCTCAATCAGCCTTTGTTTTACAAAGGTATACAGCCATAACCCATGGTGTGATGGTATGGGTCGCTATTTCTTATGACAACAGGTCATCTTTATTCATCCTCCGTACATCTTTAATAGTTCAATGATATGTTCATACCATCCTGCGGCCGGTTGCATTACCCTTCATGGTACGTCATCCTGGGGCCATTTTCCAACACGATAATGCTAGACCATATATCACTCGCACACCTCTGGGCTGTCTCCGTGCAGTTGATACTCCAACAAGGTCACCAAACCTTTCACCAATCGAGCATGTTTGGGGCATGGTTGGCCGCCAGATTCGGGCACCAGACAATATCGCAGATCTAGAGCGTGAATGCATGGCAGAATGTGTCGTAGGATGGCATTGAGAACATCTTCCATTCCTTGCCTCGACGAATTCAAGTATGCATTGCCGCCAGAGGCGGTTCTACCAACTACTAATTTGAACACTCAATGGCTGATTGTAAGCCGTGAACAGGTACTATGACCATGATTTTTTAGTCATTTCATTATCTGTGTATGAGCTATACACATATTCAGTCTCATCAAAAATAACTACTTCCTTCAGGGAGCTTCGATTCTTTTTGCAAAAGAGTGTATATATATGCGTGTGTGTGGGTTGTGTGTACGTAAGATATAAAAATATGAAGTAAAATTTATCAACAAATTAAAACTTAATTGGAACAAGCCTAAAATAGATCTTGAAATTATTAATTTTTAATCAAATCCCAACTCCTTTAAGGGAGTCTGTTTTTTCCTTACAATATACTCATTGCTGTAAACATTTGCCCAATCGCTATTCAGAACTGAAACAAAGACTTTCCAAGCTTCTTAAAGCATGCTTTTTCGCCATTTCTCCCGCCTGCTGGTAACATGTCTCATAAGCCTATGCTAGGTGTTATCTGTTATTTGAGATGTAATTAATATCTAAAATTGTGGGAGGGTTGGTAATGTTAAAAAAATTAAAAAGACAATCTGCGTCATCTATAAATAAAGGATGTTTAATTACAAAGCTGGTCGAGCTTCTTCCAAAACTCCATCCAATCATTCACTACATCGCACTTTCCAGGCAACTACGCAGGAGGTTTCTCGGCCACGGCTAAAATGGGAATTGATGCCTTTCATAATCTAGCTGTTATCTAATATCGAATTATCTGCAACGAACTGCTAATGCAGTTTCTAATGATTTCCTAACAATGTAGTCTTACAGGACGTCGTCATTGCGGCTCAAAAATTCATCTATGGGCATACAAATTGTATCACCGATCAAGAGTTTTTCTGAGCTATAAACCTCAATAGAAAATTTATTCCCCAACTGTACTTCGACAAAATATCTTAAAAATTTCAAATAAATGTGCCTGCTGTTCTGCATGTCAAACGGTTCTAACGTCTAGTGAAACGTAACGTAGAATTTACAATCGGTCATCTGTTTAGTATTTAGAAGGTAAAAAAAAACGTTATGATTTCGCAGCAGATTTCTCGGCCATTTCTAGAATGTGAATTGGTGCGTTCCATAATTGAGCTGTTGTCTAATATCCAATTATATATAACGAACAATATTATTTCACCATGCATATATATAGCATATATATATATATATATATATATGCATGGTGAAATAATATTGTTATATATATATATATATATATATATATATATATATATATCAAAAGTATCCCCATTAAAAACAACTAGTTTCAGCCCCATACAACACTAATAAATATTTCAGTGGTATTATATTCAAACGCATTTCCTCTTGCTTCTCTCTCAGAAAGTTGTACAGCATCACATTTAAAGTATCTTAGAAAAAAGGAACATTTCCTTTTCCTAGAAAGAAATCCTGGTTTTGACCGATTTCCTTAATTAGAATTGTTGGAGGATTTGAATTGGCTGCTATTCATTCATTGGACATCTCGGTCACGTCTTTCTAACCAACCACCTTTTTCTGATAGTTGCAGTGAAGGAACCCCCTTTCTCGACAACTTTATCTGATTGGGATTTTGTGCCTATTCCGGGTCCCAAACAACGTGCAGCCTTTGCTCTTTTGGGGCTGGGGGAGCTAAAGCAATTAAATAGATAGGATTTTCTTCTATGGGGAATGGCACATGCAGGTAATTGAGAACACACGCTCTTTGATTGAATGACTGATTGATTCATTGATGAGCCAGATCACAGCTTGCACAACACTAACTAGATCAGAAAGGAGGCAGTCAGATGTAATTTTGGGAGTGAAATAAATGTTAGTAGTAGTTTTTTTTTTCACTGATGGAAATACGTATTTGTTTGATCCGCTATAAGAAAAAGAATATCGAAGGTTCATTTAATAGGTAGGAAAGGACTGCTGGTAAAACCCATTTTACATTCTACACCATTTAATCAAAATGTTTTGTAGTTCTTAGATATCAAATCTCCTGTTTAAACCAACTGTGTAAACATAGTCATGTTCAGTTTTTTGTTATCTTTATATAACCTATTATCAATAAATATAAAATCATAAAATAAGGGCTCTGTATTTTTGACAGAATGTTTGTTAATTATCAGGGGTCGAATTTTGTAAACTATAATAAAGTGATAAAAACTATTTTTGTCCAATTATAAAAATGTAATTTAGTCCATCTGTGAAACTATAAGAATATTTAAGAATATTTTGTATAATTTTATATTTAAAAGACATAAAAATCATACATTTAAAGAAATATTGTCATTTAATCTATATAAATGCTGATTATAGCTTAACAATTTAAGACAATTTTAAGCAATTACAAGTCTCTTTCCTTAAGCCGACTAATTGTCCAACATTTAGATACATGGAACAATTGAGTACCACTATATGTCAAATGGTAGAAAAAATTTGCGATATTATTATTTTGCCATTAATTATCAATAAGTAGAAAAAATTAGTTATTAGGTCTGCGTTTACTTTACGCACATGTAACTTGCAGAAATTATTGGCCAGGTCAGTAAGTTCAAGAAATGAAAATGCGAGACATACGAAATGAAATTACGTATGTCTCCAAGTTTCTTTCGTTAATAAGCTGATATCATTCTTAAATTTGATTCATTCTTCGTGTGTTATTACCTGAAAAACCGTCTTAACAATTTGGCCAGTAAAACTGAAAATAGGATTTTGTTACTCAAGTATATCATTTAACAAATTTAGAAAATAGTGAAATGAAATCCAAATAACCTAAGTCTTTACTCAAAGCTGCAAAATGCAATAAAGTTACAGAATTAATATTAGCACAATTTAGTAAGTAATAATATCTAGTAATACTTGAAATTCATGTTTACTTTTAGAAATAAGAACATTATTTGAAATATGTTAGAGGAACAAAAGATATGAACTAACTTTCTAATAACAATCATAATTAAAAATTGCTAGAGAGTTAACATAAACAATAACTGCTACAATTAAGAACGACACTATTCATGAAATTGTTTCTAAATCGCTTATTTGATATGACATACGACAAAAATTATTGATTTAACAGTTAAAGCATATCTCCCCGGTATTATTAAATCACAAGTTAAATATAAAGAGGCGAAGACAGCAAATAATCAAATTTAGTTTTCTTACTAGCAAGTTTTTCAAATCAAAACTGAGCTAATTACGGATTTATTACGCAGCTGAGGAAATAAAGCTTCCGGAACATAAAGCAATGAGTCAGATACGACTACAGTTTAGCTTTCGCTTTCGGGTTGTATATATTCAAAGGTTACTTTGGGATAATATGATTCATGAACAAAAGTCACATGCGGCAGTTTCTGATTCAAAAAACAATTTACTTGAAGAATCAGAAGCTAATTTTGGAATCAGAATTTCATTACCAATGAACTGCTACAGAATAAGCAAGAGATAGAGGAGTTCTTATTTTGTAAGTGCTACGCGAAAACATTATTATTATTTACATTATTATTATTATTATTAAGCGAAAACATTATTATTATTAAGTGTTCGAATTTATTTGTTGCATATATTATGCATAACTTCTACTTCTTATCAACACTTACCAGGATGTAAATGAAATTTGGGTATTTAAGAATAGAATTCTTGGAAATTAATAGAGAGCTTTGGCAACACTAATGACTGTAGTATTACTGCCATTCTCTGCTCTGCGATTTAACGTTACTGGAGTTAGTTATTTTGCTAATTGAATCATTCTTTCATTGATTTACTATTTAAATCAACACTTGTTAGGCTTTTTCACTGCAACTCCAGTATCTGAAAACTTTGAATTTCAAGTTCATATTTTTTTTATCTGAATTTCTGCATACATATATGCGTGTGTGTATGTATGTAATTAAATTGGAAAATTATGTAAGATATATATGCGTATAATTATTTAAAATTTCTCAGATATTTTAAATACGTATACATATACTTTTAATAATAATCTGTTTTATAATGATAATATGTTTTAATAATAACCTAATAATGTGTTTTAACCTCTTTTGGCATCCATTAGTTGCATCAACATGCGAGATATCTGTTCTTACCATTTGTCGACATTTGCCATTTTGATGATATGCATGTTTGTAAGTTCTGATGCAAAATCAACGTGCACCAAGTTAGAAACGTAAGTATATTCACTTTTCTTTTACATAATGTAAACACTAAATCTGAAGTAACTTACTGAGAAGTTGCAATCTATGGTTTTATTTCAAACTGCGTTGTGGTATGTTTTACTATTTCGTCACGTGGCCTTCAGCTTTTTAATTTAATTTTTAAGAAAAGACAGAAGTCAAAATTTAATAAAATCTTGATGATATTGGTGGAAGTCGAATGTTGGCTTTTTTACCTTAGCTGTTTATGAAAAATTTGAAAAATACATAATTAAGTTTTAAAAACGAAGCAGAATGGAACTTTGTTTTTGCTACTGTGGAGGAGTACCCGTTAAATGGAACTTATATTCTACTCTTTCAACGGCACGAGGTTTCACGAACTATCTATTAAGAAGATTGTACACTAAAGCACAGTGTCCATTACTGATGGCTGTACTGTAGCTCAGTTCTTTTTTTAATTAAGCATGCTTTTATTATATGCGTAAAATAACTTGTTTATTTCAAATGGCTAAAATTGAGAATAATCAGTAAAATATCCAATTTTATTCATTTTTGTAAGGAAAGGCAACACGAATAATCCTAAAATTGCCAAAAAAAAAAAAAAAAAAAAAAAAAAACAATTAGCTTCGGAACTAAGGTTTTCTAAGCTTAACTTAAAAACTTCTAAACACACTTTAATATCGAATCACTCTCGAAGTAAAAGGATACTGCCACTAAATGTTATCGATATGTATTATTTTAAAGGAAATCACATAATAAATATAAACAGTGTAGCCAGCATACAAAATTGTGCAGCAACGCTGTACATTTAGGGAATTCTAATGATGCGCTGCTTTTAAAGATTTGGTGATTTTGTTGTTACAGTTTATAAGGCGTAAATGCTAGGAAAGCTATGTTTAATAAATAAAGCTAAAAGACAAATAAAAAAGTTATTATCTTATTAAAAAATTGAGCACTGATATTGTGAGCAGAGAAAAAACGGAGAAAATGTATGATAACACTTAACACTCCGGCGAAAATTCTAAATATATGCCACTTTAAAAAATTTTGCTATCTTTAAATGACCTGATTTGTGAATCGGAAATATTGTATAAACTGAATATATACTATGATAGAGCCAAATATTTTCAAATGAAAGTATAAGAACGGATGTGTACGTGAGCACGCATATCATTTTGACTGTATGGGAGATTCAAATAGTGAAAAAAAAAAAAAAATAATGATTTTAGTAATATTGAGCCCTTCATAGTTTCTAAATAACATAATTTTTGCAAATATCTTAGACTTTCTTTACAAATGATCAACCAATTCCATAACAATGAGCTTTAAGTAAAGTATCATTTGGTGCTTTAATTAAAGCTTATTGTTATTTGAAGCATGCAACTGGCGAGAGATCATGTGCTAGCCACATAAGATTTTTAAGACGCAAACAGCAGCATAAAAATTTTAAATTAGCCGTTATTAGTTCTTAAACATCTGTTCTGTCCTTTGACTTGAGACAGAAATATATAGACTATTTATCAAAAATGTGGAAAGATTCAAGCAAATATTTCAGAAGTAATTAAGCCTTATTTCTATTGTTAGTAGTATGTCATAATATATCAAAATGGTTAAAATGAGTATACAGCAAGAAGTATTGTGAGCAGCCTCACAAAATGAACGCAAGGTATGCGAGCTTTACTATCTGGAACTGAAACAGCGACCTTAACTTGATAACTTTATTCGGTCATTATTCGGTTAATTAACTATACATAAAAAATAAATTAATCTATTATACAATTACTAAAATTGAATTACAGACACATTTTAGGGCACAAATTTGCTTCCTTACGGAGAACTGGTCCACCAGCGACCGAGCAGTGAAGTCGTTGAACCCTGGTAGTTCGACCAAGATTCGATTCTAGGCGAAATGTCTGGCTGCATGAGTATTTTCGTGACGTTTCACGTAGTTAGTGTGTATACGAGTCAGTTTCCTTTCGGATCTCCTCCACATTACATCCCTCCCATTAGAGAGATATTTCTCGCGTGCTCATCCGTAATCAAATAAATCAAACCAAAACTTACGGAGAATTATAAATTAAGCGAATATGTATACTGAATAATTAGCCTCTTTTAAATTTTTCAGATCTTTATTTGAATTTAAGGCTGACTTTAAATTTCTGTTTATTTCAATTTTCAATATTCTGAAACCTGACTGATTATTACGGTAAGAGGAAATATTATATTATATTACTACTTTATTGTATTGTAATGTTTTATATTTTTTCAGTAAGTTTGTATAAAAGCGACTTCAGATAAAACAAAATATGAGTTATTTAATGTTCTATGAGACAGCGTGTGCAAATAAATAACATATGCATTTACATTTTTTTTAGTTTTTGAGCAAATATATGTGTCTTTTTTAATTAGAAAAATATTGATGAGATTGATGAGTGAGTATGAGATTATACCTATGTATTAATTAAGTTTGCATAAGTAAAGCTTTGCCAATGATGTGAATATTTCAAATATATATATATTTCTTTTCAAATCTAAGATATATATCTTTTCAAATATATGTTACATATATGTCGTTTTTATCTGACAGATACAGAGAAAGTTATAAACGCACTTATACGTACCCTGTGCAGGAAAAATACAAAACAACATGTGCGCTATTTTTTACCTGTACTCGGGAGAGGTAAGTAACTTATTAAACTGCATTTTTAACATTAATTTTAATCACTTTTGTTTATCCAAAATTTGTGATTGCTGTTTGAGAGCTCATTCATAACCAGCTACATTATTAAACATTTTCCACTGGAAATTGACAAGAAAAATGCTGTTAGTAACACATTACTGAGCAAGAGAATTTTTCAACTAACTACGTTTTAATGAACGTTGACCTATTTTCTTTTTCTAAATGCTATTTTAGGTATAAAAACATCCAGCATTTTTGAAAATCAGTTTTCATGAATGTGACAATATTTACTACACAAATAACCTCCTGAAATAGTAATTTCCTACACTGTTGTTAAAGACAAAATAAGTTTGAGGTAAGTAAAATGCAAATAAAAGATGCGTTCAATATATATAAAATAATATTTGGTTAGATCTTCAAACAAATTCAGTACGATTTCAGATTCTACAACAGTTTTTACACTTCATAAAACATTCCGTATAACAGTTATTTTTTAAGAATAATTTTATATTAATAATGCTAATATTAATTTAGAAATATTTTTATTTCATGCGCAAATACGAAATATAATTTGTTTGAGAAATATGTTCATTTCTGATAATGTAAAGCGTAATGCATAGTCGTTGTTGCTAAGAGATTAAAATCATTGAACAATGGGGTTTCTTTCCGGGTTCAGTACTGCTGCTATCATATGCTGCTACAGCACTGGTGACTGAGTTTAGATGTCCATCTAATGCCACACAATTCAGTATGAAAACCAATTGAGTAAAGTCCGTTCCTGAGAAAAGGCACGTATGTGTGATTATCTTCTCATTTGCTATATTACATTGGTGGTCCTTCTCCTTTCATAAACCGGAGCAAAATCCTCGGCCAGAGATGGGAAAATGTTTGATAAAATATTTCTTTGTGAAGTTCTCTCCTTTTCTGCATTGGAATACCATCCGCCAGGAGAGAGGACAAATAAACATACGGAACACATGGTAATACAAGTACTGTCTCGTGATGATACTGATCTAGTGTAACTGCCTACAAAATCAACACTTAAAAAAATAGCATGGCTTGTTTGTTCTCAGAATTTGAAACTTTATATCACAAGCATATTTTTAACGGACCGCTCATAGTGCATGCTGAATCGGTTAGAGTATGGGCTTTGAGAAAATAAAATGCTCCCATCGAAATGCATCTGGATAGAAAAGATTTAATCACCTGTTCTTTAGAGGACTATTTCTTAGCAGATCAGTGTTTAATTATGTGTGTGAAATCTTGCGAAATTTCTAGGCAATAACGTTTCCTAAAGACATATGAAGTTTTACTTGATCTGAAACTAATAACCTCTCAGACGTGAATCGCATCTCTAGATCTAAACTAACTACAAGTTATGAAGAGGTTTTAGTAGTCATGTTTTTTATTATAAAGGAATTAGAACATAAATTCACTTTCTTGCGCTAACAATATCCAACACAGTTCGTGCTGATATAACTAAACGGGACCAATAAAATTCCATTTGAAACATGGAGAAGTAGGCATCAAATACAGGTGGCGCTAATAATGGAAGATGGAGCAATAGTAGGACAGTACACCACAGCGAGATCCGCTCAGACCCAGGCTGAAGTAGAGCTCATACAGTAGAGTATAGCCCCACACCGGAGGCGATTCTGGGAGGCTCAAACCCCCAAGGACAATCTTTAACGGTTTTCAACATATAGCGTTCATACAGCCCAAGCCAGACTTAACAATACACGAAGTGCCTGTCTGACCTGAATAAACCACCGTAGAATGTTGGGCCTAGTCCTGTGAAGATACGTAATCTCAACTGCTGTCCACTCCCAACATATGGATTTGACGACATGCCAGCTCGAAGGGGGTCAGACCCGATTAGCCACATAAGCAAGACAGCTACCCATGCGTTGCCGCCCCTCCCCTGCGTCGACAGAAAACTCATGGAGACGGAAGGATGAAGACGCTTGATGTCTAACATGGGTTAAATAGGCGAATGTCCTACCCCCTCTCCTAGCCAGAGCCTCCCGTGGGCAACAAGAGTGCCGCTTCGGGAATTTATGTATTTTGAGCATAAGTTTTTCATAGCTGATGGTTTTCTCCTTTGCAATTGTATATGTGGTACAGTGCGGCATCTTTGCTCATAGAATTATAAAATATAAGATACATATACCATAAAACTAAACATAGCATGCAATGTATATATGCTAAGAGCCATATGCTAAGAACATATTGCTCAGCAAAGATGAATGTTGTCAGTCATTGCAATGAGAATTTCTGCCATAGTAATCCCCCTTACACATGTCAGAGGCACAAGGGGTCAGAAATAGCTCGGGTTAATCTTGAATCTTCTTCCAGAATAACTAGTATACGCCGGTGGTATTTGGTTGACCGGCACAGGTATTTCAACAGTTGTGCCCTTTGAATTTACTATAAGCGTTTACTTAGGAACGGAAGCTGATACTGGAGTACTTGCAACAAAAAATAATGTTTTCAGGCGACCAATTCCAATCACTGATTCCTTTTCCTTAATGAGAAAAATGTAAAATTTTACTTTAAATGGGCCATCATACGGGCAAGTTAATGACGGTTTCAGTGCATCGTTCCTAACAAACAAGTGAGCGCATGACTTTGAGTGCACGAAATATTTATTGTTAACATGAGCTGATGTAAATATATGAAACATTTCTATTATGGTTCTGACATAATTTCTTTAAAAATTAAGTCAGGTCGATTAGAACATGTGTGGGTTTCAGAAACTCTGCGAAAGGGCGAATAATGTTTCCATAGACGATGTCCGAACAGGTTCCACCCAGATCTTTGTACGTTGATCGACGACCGAGAAGTACAACTGGAAGACTCATCGTTCACTGGAAAGTATTATTGAAAATCAAAGCCTCTTTTAGTGAGAGGTGATTCTCTCAAGTAATTCATTCGCTGCAGTATGGTATGGGGTAGTCCAAGTTTGGTGAAAACTAAAATCCTTATCAAGAGTAGTGAACATGTGCGACTGAAATTGTTGGCTCTTATCGGTACTTATACTGATTGGAACTCCAAACCTAGAAACCCAATAGGTGATAAACGCTCGAGAGACATTTTATGCAGAAATAACTTTCATTGGTATTGCTTCCGGCCATTGTTAGAATCGGTCGATGAGTTTTTAAAAAGGCAGAAAATATTTCCGAGAGTGGTAAGGACCCGAATATATCCAAATTGAATGCTCTAAACGTTGCCTAGGTACCGCGAAGGATTTCAGAGGACTATGAGTATGACGTATAATTTATAAAGTCTGTGCCTCTTTGGGAACATAAACTTTTAAGGTCTTTTAAAGAATTATCTTCTCTAGACTTGTGAAACTAAACATAGATTAAGACCCTTTATTCAATCATAAAATTACCAAATAACCCAACCTGGGTTACATGAAGGCAACACTTCTGGCTACAGAAATATGTAGCAAATAATAATTTCAAAGTGTGTAGGTTAGCCTAACGGTTAACAGAATACTACACGGAGGAAGAGCTCTCGTCTAAAGTAACCGGCGAGTCGAGCCTAAAGGCAAGAAGAACATCAACGCCGCTAACGCAAGTCGCGAATAATCGCAGCACAACGTGGCCTAGAATAAGCAGACACTCTCTCAAAACTAACATCCGAAACTCCTGCTTAAATAGCACTTCATCTCAATCCCGCTATCTCATTTTCATATCTTGGGATGGAAAAATATTTAAGAATTTACCACTGACCTTTCCACAAATTCTCGTTTTGTATCATTTCTCAATACTTTTAGGAATTCACTAAATTTGATTTCTGGTCTTACCATAATTGGTCTAATTTTAAGAGGTTGAATAGATATAATATTATTAGCAGATTCAGTATTAGTGTCCATTACAGAATCATTAGTAAGTGCATCAGAATTATCATTACCATTTTCTACATTGTTACAGGGAAGATTCTGAAATTTATTAGATAACGGAAGATCAACACTGTTTTTAACCAATTTAACAGGTCGTGAGGTTGGATAAACCCATCCTCAGCCCTAATTTCATTTATTGTCCTTTTATGCACTTTTTTAACGGAGTTACGCTTTGCCTTGGGCTTACATTTCTCAGTAACATCAGTAACATTCATGGAATTATTATCAGTACTCTTATTAGATATATTATCACCATTCACATTAGAATCATTATTAGTATTCAAAGAAACATTTTCAATATTATACAGTATCACATTTTTATCATAACTATTAGCATACTTGGGATTCAGATTTCAAAAATATTCGCACTTACCTAGAATAATCCTGAGAAGACCTTCAGCCATCGATCTTGTTTTCCGAAAGTCAGCTTGCGTCTGACTGTTATAGGTGTCATTAGTACAGATCTTTAAAGATCTAGCACATAAATATCCTCGAGAGTTGATATCCGCCTTAATCCAATCACATAATTGAATAGCATTTACAAAGTCATCAAGTCCATATTCCGTTTTGTTAATCAGGGTTTGCCAGTGCTCATCTAAGAACTCACCGCATTCAATAAGTTCATCAAGAGTATCGATATTCAGGTTCCGAACAGCCGCTGTGAGTGAAGATTTTGAAGAATTTGAAGATAATTTGCAGTAACTCATAATGAAAAAATAGCACAGAAACTTACACGCACTCAAAAGAATCACAGAAACACGTAAAAACAGATATTAAAGAATTCAGCGAAGCACGAGGTAAGATGGTACTGAAAAGAAATGGTGCAAGGCTGCACGTTCATCAGTCGAAAAACCGGTCACGCAGGAGCGAAGAAACATACAACCTACCAACTCTATCCCATCCAAAAACTCAATCAGTAATGAACAGGCAAAATAAGGCAAGAATTAAATAGTAAGTCTCGATGAAAAAGTTCAAGTTTTTATCCTCGCGTTATGGCGAGCACATATTCATATTGCGCAGCAAAGATGAATGTTGTCATTTACTGTGATAAGGATTTACGTCATATATACATACAACATGAACTAAATTTTACTCTAAGCCGAATCAGTAATTCTAACAAGAAAATCAAAATCAATTCGTAGGCAGCGAATAACGCAAAGTTAAAAATTACAACTATCAAAGATGCAATAGCTAAACGTAATGTGAACGGGCTCGTCAGACATACACTGTGTCTAATGCCAAAACCCGAGTTTAAATACCAGCTATATTCTGGTGAGCAAACGGAAAGGAGATGTTAGAGTAAAGGCTGAAATCATAAATAACTGGTTAATTTAAGTAACAATACAGACTATTTGAAGAAACGTGGGACTAGCTAAACTGTCGTTTATGGGGGAAAATTACTGAATAAACTTAGCACACTAAAAGAGTTATACTTAATTTTTTAACATACTAAACTTATTCAATAAAATTTTCCATTTTCCCTAATTTCTAATTAGGTACATCCCACCATTTATTTCAACTAGCGAAAATTATGTTATGTGTTTCTGCAGCATTTTAGTAAGACTTTTTTAATCGCGTTTCAGTTTACGATAAATGTACTAAAAATAACCGTCAAGTAAACCCCAACTTGCGCTCAGCAAACATCTGGCATTATTAGCCCAAAGGAGAGTAAGACCCAAAGGCCTATTGGTGTCAAAACGGCATTTTGCGTCATTGGTTCCCGTTCAAATTGTTTCTACCGAATAGTATCGCCATGTATTATATTTAAAGAAACTAAATAATGAAGAATTTGCATGAATGTTTCTCTTATTCTGAAAAAACAATGGTGCCTAGAGCCATCAAATTTTTAATAACGTAGTCCTTCAACCTAACATGGGCATTTGGAAGCCAAATTTTGAGTTTGTTTTATTATCTATTTCAAATTTTGTAAAACTTTAAACGATTTTTTGATTTACAAACTCAACCATTTTAAAGCGAGCAAATACAACACTGTATGGCAAAAAACACTTTTATCTCCAGTGTATCGGAAATTCTAAAGATATGCTTTTTTTTTTAAATATATTGTGGTATTGCTGTTGAATTGAATTTTATGTGGTTCAAGTGCGAAGAACAGGATATTTAATAAATAAAGGTAACACACAAACCATTAAAAAAATTCCCTTTGGACGTAATATAAAATCAAACATTTTAGATTTTCTTTCTCTCTCTCTTTCTTTTTTTTCTTTTTTTGTTAATATTTTATTTTAAATTTAGTTGGTTTTTTTAGGGTGAATTTTATCTTTTCTATAATTATAAGCAGAACAAGCAAAAACTTACTTCTAAATTGATTATATCCAAACATCCAGATGTAACATAATTTATCAATGTTTGTTAAATGTTTAACCTACGAAAACGGCAGAGACACTTATTTTATTTTTAATCCTTGATCTTATTTCAAATTAAAGGGAAACAATTTCCAACTTGCACCCAGAAGAGAATAAATACTTTTTGTTAAGTTATTAGTAAATACCTGATTAGAGAATATTAGACCCGGTTTATGTACCAAGTAGCATGGTGTTATGATGTAATAAAATAAATTGCAATGTTGTCTTCATACGGTAACCAATAACGTGAGTATTTGCATGTTCATATCAGGCTAATGCAGTAAAATACAGGAGACGAAAATTGTCGCCATGGCACTTTTAGATTTTTTAAACTTAAAAATGATTCCTCAGATTCGTGGTTTTCTTCATTTACATAGTGCTTGATGACTAAAAATTATTTGCAGAGAAAATACCGGCTGCATTGTTGATTTTCGTGGATTTTGTCTCGTGTCTAGTGAATATTAGCCAGTTTCCCTCAAAACGTCCTTCACGAAGGCATCCTTTCCCTTAGGCAGATAGCCCTTGTGACTTTGCCATACTAAAAAAAACCTAACATAACCTTGCAGCAATTGCGACGAATGATGATGAGGAAGTATTTCATTTACTTCTTGTTTCACTGCACATTTATATGTTAAATTTGCCCAATCGGACTGTTGGAAAAGAAAGGATTTTTATTTCTACCAGACCTAAAACAATATTATACTGCACAGTATATAAAGTCGACTTTTTTCATTACTTTTTCGTGTTTAGTAAAATATGCTAAAATATCAGAATTCCTTTTTTTCCTAACAAAGAAATAAGTGCACAATATATATTTAACACTACAATATATAACGTAGAGCATTTTACAATATGCTTTATTATTACTTTATTTTCATAAGTATATCAATTAAATTTGACTGTATTTATGTATATTATAGAGCTTTTTATTATCTAACATAAACTTGAAACTGTCTGATCTTGCTTCATCGTGAAAGCTATCTTTTTTAGCAATTTCAACACGCAATTCAAGTTACATAATAAGAAATTAATAATTTGTGCTGCTTCAAAATTTACATTTTTAAATACGATAGTGAGTTAGCGAAATACTTAATTTACGAAGACAAATTGATTCAAGTGTTTGATTTCAGTTTCAAAATAATATTTGTTATAACAAAGCGTGATGTTGTTGTTAGTAAACTAGGTTTATTACATCTTCGTTCAGTTATATATTTTTAATTAGAAATTTCGTCGTTAGAAATTAGCGATTTTTTAAAATGTAAATAACATAGCAAACTGTTATGAATTTCAGTTCAGAAGTAATAAAACTAAATCTGAATTGAATTTATTTTTGTTAACCCCTTACAATAACATACGAGGTAACAAAAATATGAATTTTACTGCATTTTACATTTAATTGGATTAGACTTATTTTTATAATACCTCAATATTAAATGTTTACAAGCTATTAAAAAAGACTTATTGACAGAGTTAGAATTATATATTTTTATATGTTATCATTCCAGAACAGTTTACAAAATTGGATATTCAACGGAATATCGAACAGCCAGGCGGACTATAACTGTATGCTGTAAGGGTTATGCCAAATCTGGCAATACTTGTTTACGTAAGTAGTTTAATACTGTTTTTTTGAAGAGTACTGACCTATGAAAACTCAGACAGTAAAATTTAAATATATTTGTTGCCTTTAAAAATGTACACGTTTATGCTAAATTTACTAATATTTCTACCTTTTTCTTAAAAATTGGAAGCATTGTCATCCGAATCTATCGAAGCTGAAAAACACAGTCCTTTTATACAATACAATCATTTTCTGTTTACTTCGATATACCACAATAGAAATCCTACTGGAAAATACAGTATCAACAGGCCTGAATTTCAGTGGGAAATCTAACATCAACCTAATCCTTTTTAAAGAAGGATTCAATTCCAATCTTTTTTTAAAATCATCAATCCTAATCTTTTTTAAAACTAAAAATTGTAACTTCCGAGACTCGTTTTTTTACGTTTGTATTGCATTTAACGTTATGCTTCCTAGCATTATTCCGTACATTTACTTCCGCACTTTATCACCCGCGCTAATCATATAAAGAGGTGCAATACATCTCGAATTATTGTTTGTTTATTATATTTATACAATAGTATGTTTGCTATCAGAAGACGCTTTTACGAAAAATTTTGAATTTTATATACGTACACTAAGTGAAATTTGAGTGGTACATAAGTATTTAGTATTACAGTAAATGCATTCAATTCCAAATTTCAATAAATTTTCAGATTTATAAATTTTAAACAGAGACTGACATTTGATTTGGATTTATTATAGTTTTACCTTAAGGTTTTTATTATTAAAAATGTAGCTCATAAGCAAAGGTACTGAATTTTTTGTATACATTTTACATGATACAGCTGTATGTGCTAATGGATGCTACAGAGGACAATGTGTTAAACCAGACACTTGTGACTGCTTCATAGGATGGACAGGTGCTATATGCGATGAAGGTACGTAGGAATGTTTTTTAATTTTAAACCGTTTACCAATCGAACCTTCACAGCAAACGAATCTTGAGTTATAAGGAGTTATGCATTTGATATAAAATAGCGGATACTTTTTTATGAAGGTATATGATTTTTAAGATTGAAAATTTAGCGCACAATTTTTATATGCTTTCAAAAGAGTGGTTTCGGAAATGTGTAAAAAGGACGGAAAGCAAAGCACTTATTTAAATCTGTAATAAGAATATATCAAAAATAACTCTTTCATTTTTATTTCCTTGGACGAAATAAAGGAAGTATTGCATTCGCGAAAAATTTCGGTTATCAGATTCATTTGTAATTTTCGGTTATTAGATTTACGGAAATATCTATTTTGACCCTTGCCAAACCCGTTTTCACTATTTTTTGGATGACCACTGTGCGTCCGTGTAGAACAAAGGCCTATACTTAAAAGGAATTTGTAAAATGGAATTTTTGTGACGTTTGTACGAACATACATATGTATATGTCTCGCATAATTCAAAAACGATTAGCCATAGAACGTTGAAATTTTTATATGGGACTGCGATAGCATCTAGCTGGGCATCTCCCTATTTTATTGCAATCAGCAAATTAATTTTGGACAAGTAATGAAATTTAAATTTTAATGATGTACCCTGGTTCCTATAATTATACTCGTATCTTGAATATATTATACTCGTTTAAAAAAATAAAAATACTAGAAATTTGACTCAGGTACTACAAAAACTGAGTAGCATATTTGCGCTATCCGACGGTGAAAAGGAAACACCTAGAAGGAGGGACCAGAAAGTGATGACACTCGACAAACAGAGAGAGACAGCAACGAACAATAAGTAATCTTTATTTCGAAATGATATCCATAATGCATAGCGAGAACAGCGTCGGCTTAGTATGTTGTAGGACCACCTTGGATTGCGATACACGAAAGTGCACGTCTAGCTACAGAGTCAGTGAGACTCCGGATGGTGTCACTCGGAATAGTTTCCCATTCCCTGTCAACCATTTGCCACAGTTCGTCTTCTGAATGCGGCAATGGCAAGGTCTGCAAATGGCGTTCAATCACATCCCAAATGTGCTCAATTGGTGAGAGATCAGCATCTGTACACCTTGCAGAGCACGTTGGTTGATGCGAGCACTGTGTGGTCGGACGGTATTGTGTTGATAGAGGGCATTGGGCACTCCCTGAAGGTAATGGAGTGTCACCGGCCGCAGCAACCATAATGCCGCGATGTCGCGCGGTGGTGCGTTCCACATTTGCTGCCGGATTGGACCTGTTTCCACATCGACCCGACATTCGCATGCGGCAATTATCACTGGAAAAACGGAAGCGTGGGTCACTTGAGAAAACGACCGTATGCCATTCAGGTGCCCACATTGCTCGAGCCTGGGACCAGTGCAGACGTTGGCGTCTATGATGCGATGTCAACGGGAGTCTTCTTAACGCATGTCACGAGTGCAGGCCAACAGCCACCAATCCACGGCAAATGATTCTGGTCGATATGGGAACATCAGGGTGTCTTGAACATGCTGCAGAATGAAGATAGAAGTCGTGTGAGGTTGCACCACCGCTTTTCTGCTGACACTTCGATCCAGAGGTGCTGACGCCATTCTGGCTGCATCGGTATCCCTCGAAGTTGCCACATTTCCTTGTTCGAACCATCGTCGCCATAGCCGGTGCACTGTGCATACGTAGGTGTGTTTCAGGTGGGATTTGCCGTATGAAGCAATCTGCCCTTCTCAGTCCGATCACCATGTCCTTCGTAAAATCGTCTGTCTGCTGGAACTGCTTTTGTTGACAATGGCCTGGCATTCTCTGCTATTACGCGTGTATTCTGAGACAAGAGCAAATTTTCTACAATGATTTCCCTAGCAGAAATAACGGCACGAAAATCGAGCATTCTTGTTCCTTGCCTTATAGTTTCTTCAACGTAGGCTGGACAACTACTTCACCTCATTTAATAACACAGTGACGTGCATCTGCCTTGAAATTTTCATTATTTTCGGGCCATTTCTTCTTGGTGTTGCATTTTCAATCTCGGGTAGTGTCATATTTTGGAATTTTTCATATTATTTTCAACTTGCCTTAAGGGGTCAGTTAATTAAGTTAGAATAATTCCGGAAATATGTTTTAATGAAGTGCACCAGAAAATGTGTATAATTTAATAGACCGTATGATTAAGTTATGTCCACATCAGATTTTTTATGAGAGACATTACTATGCAAAGGGTATAGTATCTTCATAAATCTATTTTAAATATAAAATCGGCTGAATTTAGTCAGTGTTAGAAAATTTGATATGGATTTTTTAATAATAAAAGTTCTCCCTTTATTTTTATTTTATTAAATTTTTGTTACTATTAAAAAAATTGAAGTCTTTACCATAAAAGTTAGTTGTAATATTAAGATTTTATAAAAAAAAATTAATTCCTTATTTTATTACATTTTTATTATGTAGTAGAAGAAATAAAACTTGGAACTCAGATTATTTTTTGACTGTATACATATCGACAGTTCAGAAGTAAAATGTATTTCACAAACTATGAAGAAAATATTAGTTCATGAAGTCGCAGCATTGCTTTGGGTCGCATTTCTCAGTCAAAATCACTACTTTGAAATAAATTGATGTTTACAGTTGAATAGTTCAAGTCATTAACTAGAAGAATAGAAAGCTAACCTGCGATCTATTAGAACTTTACAACTTAAAATTTTAAACGTGCAACAAAGACCTGCACTTATATGTATATATATCTTCAAACGTCGCTTTATTTCAGTCAAAAAGATGCCAGACTTCTCAATCAGAATCTAAACACAATACTTCGAAACAATCACCATACTTCGAAAATAAGAGTATCTAATTAGTGGAAGTTCACGGTTAACTGGGAATTATATACGATCAAATCATGATTAATGCTTTCGGTTTACATGGGAAAAATTGTCTAAAATTCTAATCAAAGGCAACTATTGTTAAAACAAAGGACAATTCAGCGTTTCTCCAAGTATACTTAATGAGTAATGAAATAGTGAGTTTGAGTTTCTGTAATTATTGCCTGAGTTTTGTTAATTGGTAAACTTGATTTATGAAAATAATTCCCACATAGTGAATTAATGATGCTAGTTTGATAGCAAAGAACACGTTACTCTTGATTTCGGTTAATTTTATGCAATTCTTTAAATAATTTGGAAGAAACGTTTTCGTTTTTCCTTCTTTTTTAGCCCAAAAGGGACGTTAAAATGCCAAAGGAATATTGTTCTCGAAACGGCATTTTGCAGTGAATCATTATGCACGGCGTATCATTTTCAAACTGTTGAAACCAAATATCATCCCCTTGTATTAGATTTAGAGAGTCTAAAGAAGGATAAATCTGCATGAATGTATGAATGTTTCTCTTATCGTGAAAAACAACGGTACACAGAGTCATCGAATTTTGAATAACTACTCCTGCACCCGAACATGGGCAACTAGAAGTCCGAATTTTTAATTTCGTATTTGTTTTATTGTGTATTTCATATTTTGTAAAACTTTAACAAATTTTTGATAAACAAACTCAATGATTTAAAAGCGAGCAATGGCAACACTGTCCGGAACGAAACTCCAGTGCGCGAGACTGTATACTGGAAATTCTAAACTTATGTTGTTTTTAAATATTTTGTGATTTTGCTGTTGAATTTATTTTTATGTGTAGTAAGTGCGAAGAACATGATATTTAATTTTTAGAGTGTTTTTTTAAAGCATCGGCATATTAAATAAGCAACGTCCTCGCCGGGACTCGAATATGGACCTCTCGACGGCGCGCCGAGTGTAGTACTTTACACACGAAAGACATTCTGGAGGGAGGGAGAAAATACGTAATAAATTGATAAAATAATAGGAAGATAGAAAAAGAGTTTTAGAAGCCATCTTACTAAGAAAACTGAATATTGATATGATGAACTGAGAGAAGATTGAAAAAAATAAGAAAATGCATCCTGACACTTAACACTGCTAAACACTGGAATTCTAAAAAATGCTGCTATGCTGTTTTAAAATTTTTGCAATTTTGCTGTTAATTTGTATATGGCGGAATTGCGAAAAAAATGTTGCTTAATAACAAATCTAAAAAGATAAAAAAATGGGTTAGCAGATGTAAGTGCAATAGCAGACTGTTAGACTGCGAGCTCAGTGCGATCGTAAAAAAAGTTTTAACAAACCCTTCTGAGCGACGGTTGAAATCTGAACCCTTTCAAATTTCACTTTTTTTGTTAATGAATTACAATATATGTCTATATATATATAGAGAGAGAGAGAGAGAGAAGTAGAAAGTAGTAAATCGTAAAAACGTGAGACCTAGTTGGTCAGAAATTGAGCGTTTAGCTGCAAATTTTAAAATAGATTTATATATATACACTGGTGTGCAAAAATTAAGGACGAAGTCGAAAAATTAGCATATCAGCTGAACGAAGAGGCAGAGCGGACAGAAAGACCAATCAGGAGATTAAGTAAGGTGATGTACGGTAGCATATGCGCATATATGCAGGTTGACGTAATGGGGGAGTGTCTGAGTTGTATAAAGCATGTTGTCGGTGTAAGATCAGTATTTCTGGCAAAGAGATTGCACGTCGTATAGCAGTTAAAATCACACCGAGTTGCTGCCTCAGCGAGAAATGGAAAATAATCAATCTGTTAGAAGACATCTGGATGCTTTTACCCGAGGTCGAATCATTGGGAAGATGGAGGAAGGCCGCAGTGTGACAAGTGTGGCTGCAGAGTTCGGAATTGCTCACAGCATTGTTTCACGACTTCAATTTCAAAACTACGGGAACAGCTATCCGGAGACAATTTCAAACTACGGGAACAGCTATCCGGAGACAATTTCAAACTACGGGAACAGCTATCCGGGTGTTTAGTAGTGGTCGTCCACGAGGAACCACACCCGCAGATGACCGGTATATTGCCTTACAGGCCAGAAGAAACAGGCGGCAGACAACGGGAGAAATCGCTAGACACACGACACAGGCAACTGGACGACCGATATCGCGTTTTACCGTGGCCAGAAGACTGCACGGTGGTGTCTTTTTGCACGACGTCCTGTACGGTGTGTACCTCTAACGCCTGCCCATCGGAGAAGGCGTTCTCTCCGGGAACACCGGAATTGTAGAGACAATGAATGGGGACGAGTACTGTTTACAGATGAGAGCAGATTCAGTCTGAGTAGCGATTCTCATCGCATACTCATCTGGAGAGAGCGGGGAAGCCGCAATCATCCCTCGAACATCATTGAAAGGGACAGGTATGGAGGTGGCGGTGTTCTCGTTTGGGGAGGCATCATGCTTGGTAGTCGTACAGACCTTCACGTCTTCGACGCAGGTTCAGTCAACGGGACCCGTTATTGTAACGAGATTATTTCTTCCATATGTGCGTCTTTTTAGAGGCGCTATGGGTCCGCAGTTCCTTTTCATGGACGACAATGCACCATGTCATCGCACAGTAGCTGCCGAACAGCTCTTAGAGAGTGAGGATATTGAACGTATGGATTGGCCGGCACGATCTCCGGATCTCAATCCCATCGAGCATGTATGGGATTTTTTAGGCAGACGCTTGGCAGCTCGTACCTTACCAACAGTAACGATTCCGGAGCTTCGATTGGCGCTGCAAGACGAATGGGCACCAATGCCTCAACAACTCATTGACACCCTCATTCTCAGCATGGGCAGACGCTGTGAAACCTGCCTAGCAGTCAGGGTAGATCATATCCCCTATTAAAGACCGGATGTTTTCTTGCTGGACACCCATCACAGGGATGTTTCGGCCTTCAGTCGCATTGCGCTCCATGCTACTTTTTCAATAAAGCTTCTTTTTATCCCTCTGATTTCTCTTTTAGTAAGTGTTGCTTGCATTACTCAAGTCCTTACGTATTGGGGATCTTACGGTATTAAATAAGTTGATTTGGAAAGCTTTTGTACAAAGTTATATTGAAAAAACCGTCTCGTCCTTAATTTTTGCACACCAGTGTATATATATTTATATATATCTATTTTTAACCTCTCCTTTTCTTATAAATCTCTCTCTCTCTCTTTCTATATATATATTTATATATATTGCTATAAAGTTAAAAGATGAGAGTAGTTGTTGTTTCGCGCCCGATTGGACTCCACTAAAATAATTGCACTGTTACGTTTTTAGTAAGTAAAACTTTTCTTCATTAAATAACAATGCTAGGATGTACTAACTCATGGCAAATTTTCTCTGAAAATTCGCTCTGCCATTTTGAGCAGTTTATTTTAAATTTTAGATTTAGATGTCTCTAAATTCTTGGGTAACTCATTCTTAAACTAGTAAAGTCGTCGTAACTGTTTTGCTTAAAATTGTTCTAGCTGTTAACTTATTATCTTTCTGAATAGTTTTTTTTTTTTTTTTTTTTTTTTTTAATTTAGAGGTAAACGTTTCACAATTTTAGAGTATAATCCGAAGATCTCAGACTGTAGTTTAAAATTTTGACTTAATGTCGGTCATAATAACGAGAAACAAAAATGTTATAGGGGCATTTCATAACAATGTATTAAATTTTAAAACTCTCCATCATCACACAAAATTTCGACCATAACTAAATTTTTCAGTTATCTATTGAAAACCGCTTTCCCGTGTAGACGACTATATCCTCATGAATCCTCATGAAGGATATCCTCATGAATCATGTGAGTACCTAATATGAAGTTATTTGAAGAAAAGTGTTTGAAATTTCAGCACTGTTCAGCAACGGAAAATTAGGCATTCAAATGCTCATAAGCAACTTTTGTTGTATTATTGGACAATTTATTCAATTAGATGGATTTGAATTGTTTTTGAAGACAATAACTGAATTTCCATGTTTTCGTTTTTTTACTAATTCAATTGTGATCGTAAAATTATGAAAAGTATGAAATGGAGTTTAAATAATATGTGGAATTTGTATGTGGCAACCAGAAAGGGTACAGAATAGAGATGGTCCCTACAGAAAAGATTCAATTCCTAAGACTCCTATAGCATTTAAGTTCGAAAATGCTTATTCTGAATAAAGCAAAATCGAGACTTATTAAAACGATGGGGTAGACAAGAGACCCAGAAATGTGTTTCTTTACTGTTGGGAACTGATTCCATGGAAGATTTAGCATAACAACGCTAATTTAATGATTTAGAGCAACAAAGATGTAACTTATGTTTACACCTTTGTTACGTCACCACATTTATATTTACATCTTTGGTAATACATACAAAAAATAATAAGTAAAATTTTTTTTAAAAATTCTGAAAACGAAAACTTTAAGATTTTATGTTACGTAGAAACGGGGCGTTTTTATTTTTTTATTTTTTATTTTTTTTATTTACAGAGTCATACACGTTTCAAAAGCATTTGGTTAAACGCCACATTGCACTAAAAATATTTAAAAACAGCATATCTTTAAAATTTCCAATAAGGAGTCTGAAGCGCTGCCAGGTAAAACTGTTTTATTTCCTACAAGCCGCTACGCAGCCGTACCGGAAAAATGCCTAAAGGTAACATCACACATTAAATTTAAAAACTGCACAGAATTTTATTCTGCAGAAGATCTTTATAAAAAAAAAATCAATAAAAATGTTTTACATATAAAAAAATTACAACGAAATAAACAATATCCCTTAATGAAAATATAAATTATCCTAATAATAAATTAAACAACTTCTCGTTGCCTTCTCTCGACAAAAGTCCAGTATCATAGAGAAACATTAAATTTAAAGCCGCACAGGATTATTGTCCTCATTTTTTCGAGTGGCAACAGTGATGATATCATCAACAATGGCAACAGTGAAATATCAGCAACAATGGCTGCGTGCCATTGTTGCTGATATAATGAGATAGAATTACCGATTTAATGCGATTTTATCAAAAAAACATAAAATAAAGAAAAATCTCATTCGGATTTTGAAAAACTCGCTTCGAGGTGCACTGCCTCTTGTCTAGATGCACCCTATATACCAAATTTCGTAGTTCTGGGTCTATTAGCTAAAGTGCAGTACTAGCGAAAGGCTCACACACAGACAGACAAACTCTTCTTTTTCTATCTACAGATTGTGTTGCTATTGCTGTCTTTAGATTTGTTTATAGATTTGTCTGCTTACAGACAAACTGTTGTGTTTTTAATCAAAAATTCGTTAAAGTTTTGCGAAATATGAAATAGGCATTAAAACATACTCGAAATTCAAAAATCGGGCTTCCAGGTGTCAGTGTTCAGGAGGATGACTATGTTATTCAAAATTTGATCATTCTAGGTACCGTTGTGTTTTCTCAATGCGTGAAATATACATACATTCAAGTAGATTATCGTTTGGCCCTTATGGTATAACATCCATTTGAGCTAAAGAAAGCAGTATGAAACACTTTTTCTCTACGTTGCTGAAAATGCATTTGTCTCGTTAAATGTTACTCTTCGGCTAATCGTATCCATACCGGCCATGCTGTTAAGTCCCCTTCTTCGTTTCGGCTCGACTACACTACCCCCTCTACGGAAGGTATTTCGAGTATCACAACGATGCCAATAATATCGTGGTAAATAATTTCAATTAACTTTCTTGACAATCAATTCATCGCTCTTGATGGTTCTACATTACTTACCTTCTAACAATAGATATCAATCAAAATTTATACATCCTTCCCGCAAATTGATAGGAAACTGGCATGCTAGTTGAAAAAAAAACCCATATTAGGCAGCGGGAGATAGTACAATCAAAACGTCAGCTTAGAGATGAAATAAACTCAGCTTGCCGGGCCTCTGGATCCCATACCGGAGTCCTAAGGTCTTACCCCGCAGCCCACCGCCTTACAGGATCCGAGGGATCACCACTCATTTGTCTCTAAACATTGGTGGACTTAGCCAACACCATCTTAGATGGTGTTGGCGTAGCCTCTTGGCTTGGAAATTTGAATGGCTGTGTAAATGCTATCTGCCAATACTACGCTGGCTGCCCGTAGCCGAGGGCATTACCCAGAATACTCGGACTAGCCGAGCTTCTAGACCATTCTGTTTGAAGACTTACGTTTCGCAGCCCAACCGTACAGACGATCTTCCCTCGCCGGAGTCGCTAGGCTCGTGTTTTTAATCACCCGATTTCGAGACTGCCAAGTTACAGAACCGAGCCAGTACTGTAAAGACTGCAGGGGGGATAGCAATACATATATTCATTAAAACATTTTTCAAAATTGATGCTATTACAACAGTAATCAAACATTTTTGGGATGGTGTTATGTGTTGAAACAGACTGCAAAAGGTAGGAAACAAGCTGCTTCTGAAAACTGTGTTTTTAGATTTTATTTGTTCGACAACTTATAATTCAATTTGTTAAAAAATATCTCAGTTGAAATACGGCTTTTTTACATTGCCAGCATTTTATAATAAACATGACATTACTTGATTGGCATTTCATTCGTGATAATTCATTTTTAGTTTGTCCTTCTGGATATTATGGAAAAAATTGTTCTGAAAAATGCAATTGCCGCCATGCATCTTCGTGTTCAGCTACAACCGGAGAATGTTACTGTTCACCAGGTAAGAGTCATAGTATATTCATTCGAATTCTGTAAGCATATTCGAGTCCTGTTCGTAATTCGACAAGTTTTCTTTCATTAACAAATGTTTATCTTATTTCTATTCTTGCTCTTTAAAATTGAACTACCGTACCTTTTACAATATAAGCTGATTCGTGCATGGAAGCTGGGAAGAAAATTTCAGCTATAATTGAAAATACGATTATAAGCCAAATTTAAAAGCATTGTATAAATCCGTCTCTCTATATATATCAACGAAAGTGCGAATACTCATTGCTTAACTTTGCTAGACTATCTGCATGAGGTGAACGTATCCATCAAGATGAAAGAAAATGCTAATACCCACTCAGCTTCAATTTGTAAAATACGGGTGACAAAAGGAAGGAAGTGCACTTTTCTCATTCTTTCGAACATGTGGTTGGCTACAACGCAATAAATTTTTCATCGGTTCTCAAATATGGTCAAGCAGTTGCAATCTTGTGTTGTTATTGTCTTGTACATGAATTTTGTGGTAGAATGGTTGTCAGAGCCTCAAAGAGGTTGGACTTCTATTTTCACCCCAATTTTGAGCGAGAGAACTCCAAGGTTGGTTAGAGGGTCTCCAACTCCTCTCCTCTACGACAATCCGCACACGATAGGACTTTCGGTTCGCCATATATTTAAAGTGCCCCCATGCCTCAAAGACACTATGCATTTACAAACATCCATAGCTTCTATGGGATTCGAACCCGGGACCTCTGGTACCGTAGTAGGCTCCTATAAACACTTACTCCGGTACCGCAGTAGGCTCCTCTAACTTATTTATGGTACCTAATTTATACTGAGGATCACGCGCCCCTCAATGGCATGCTTCTTGTAAACTTTAACTATCATGATAACGTATATGTATGGATGTATATATCAATATGAGTGTGTATACTTTTATTTCTTCCGGGATATTTATGTATGTAAGTGTGTATATATCTGTATATGAGTAGGTATTTATATGTATATATGTTACCGTGAAAGACCGAAATTGGAGAATGTCGACTTTCACCGGAGAATGTCAACATTCACCAAATACGTCGGTGAGAGATCGAAAATTGCATTACATTCTTGTACATTCGGACCCTCACCGGTGTGTGTCGACAATCACAGATATGTTACGTAGGAAAAAAAATAATATTTTTCATTTAACTTTTATCTCTTTAAAACTGACTGCTTGGTGCCGCGAAAAAAAGAAAAAAAAAACAAAACAAACTACTGACTCTACTTTGTACTTACATAAACAAAACTTTTAAATCTAAAAGACATCAAAGAAAGATATCCTCCCTGGTGTTTTGGTAGAATCACGATTAATTATGCACATCCAGAACAAAATCTTTAACAGGCTATCTCTCACTAAATGAAAACTAATTTATATCTCCAACCTGAAAACACATAAATTTCAATCTTAAATCTAGAGATAAGCTTAAACCTTGAACATTTCAAATGTCACACAGATCTCTTCAAAACACCGGGGAATTATACAATCTCCCAATTAAGAAGTCTACTCTTCAAATCAAAATAAATTCAGCAAACCGATCGTATAGTCACCAACACTAAAACTTATTTTTCTACTACCGCAATATAATTACCCAGGTTCGGTTGACGGTTGAAAAACCACGTTTCCGTAAGGATTACATGGGTGACCTACAGTAGACCACAATTAATACACACACACAAAAAAAAAAAAAAAACATACAATATTAAAGATAATAAACACATTTATTGAAAATTCCCACACTTTATAACTTAAGATAGCTGGCCAGACTACCCTACAAAAATCTTTTAAAGTTACTCATAGTTTTTTTTCATATCAATCTCATATTTAACATTATCCATTAATACAAAATCATCGTGAAACCGTCAGTTCTTAATCATTTTAAGCAGGAAACCAGAAGATTAAATTTATTTAAAAAGACTAATTAGAATAAATCATATTGAAACATAGCACTTAAACATTAAAACAAAGATTCACTTCCTCCAATTAGTTCAATTGACTTCTGACTATAAACATTAATAAAAAAATTACTTTCTCGCTAGAAATTTGGTAAAAATATTCAATTTTTATCTATTAACATGTCAATCTTGCTTTAGTATTCCATTTCCAAATTAAAAAGGAATGCATCAAAAGAAAAGCACCAATGAAAACATAAAGTCGCTCACGAAATCCGCGTACCACATCTGAGAGACTCAGGGAGCTGCCCGGATCGAGTGACGAAACATTAAAAACATAATAGCCAAATCTTCATCGTTGTTTCCAGGAACCGGACTTTTTTCATAGTTCTAGCACTAACCTCCGTTCAAGCAGCATTTTAACTCAATCAACTTTCCCGATTTCGAAGTTCCACTGAAGATAAGAGAAGAAGGTCGAAAACTGGAGACAACAGACCAAAGCAGACCTCAGGAGATGACGACTTTCCATATTTCCCTATTTTCTAAAGCAAAATAAAAACTCCAGCACGAACGAGCAGTTCAGACTCTTACACAATTGGGAAAAAAAATATCAGCGACGAAATCGAAAATAATAGGCCGCAAGAATTGCCGCCGTCGAACATGTCGAGCACCCCACTGTCTCGGACCCTCCGTACCCAGAAATCTCGGAGATAAAAAACTTAACTGTATACCGCGGTCGACCACCGAAGAACCGCCGGGTTTTCCTCCGCACCATCTCAGCACCACTGACCGCGGCCGGCCCCGTAGGGGCCGCCGTCAAAGTAGCAACCCCTAAGGCTCCAAAAACCCTCTTAAAAGTCTTCTCTAAAAATCGCTTTTTTTTTCAAGTCCAAAAAGATCCCTCTGCCTTCCGTGCAACGACTTAAGAAACCTCGGTTAACTCTCCAAGAAAACGCCTCAAAATTATATTGGTTCAAACAACACTAAAATTAAAAATTTAGCCAATCTAAGGAAACTTGGACTCCCTTTCGCCAATTAAAGAAAGGTAATAAATCGCCACTGAAATTCTCAGAAATTCAGAACTTTCTACAAGAAGACAGACCCTTTCTTTCCCACGCAATAGAAGAATGTTTCCAACCTATAACTCTGTCAAAAAAATCGCCGCCCCTTAGAACTATTCGCCTCAGAACGAGAAAAACACGCGTTTTCAACCCCCGCGCAAAAGGGGAAAATGCAGCTGGACAGTGACCTCTAACCTTCAAAGAAGCCTACGCGTGAGAAACGGAAATACAACCGCGCCCTTTTAACTGTAACACATATTCAGCCAAACTTAAGGGAGCTTTGCCGTAAAGTTTAACAATATTAAATATTATACATTAATTTAAAATAAGCTCAATACAAATTCATTAAACACAGTAAAATATTATAATAACTAAGAATACATTATGCACAGTAAAATAACATGCAATAATTATATACAACAAAAATAAAATACATAAGAATTTACATAACAGATATGCTCTGGTGTAGGTCGAAAAGAGATGAGTATATGTACATGCTGACATTGCAAAACGCAGTGTTCCACAAATAAATGCAGTTGTAAAATCAAGGGCCTCAGTGCAATTCGAAGTGTCATAATAGTTTATTGTAATAAATAAGATTTGAATCACATAATTTAGTAAGTTTTTAACTTCTATTATTTCCTTTCTCATTTTGAAATGTACTCTATGTTTTAAGTTCTTATGTTCTTAAGTTCTTATTTTAAGTTTGAAGTGCGTTTTTTGCGTACTGAATTAGAGAAGAAAATATAATATTCTTATATGTTCATCATTCACCATTAGTACCGGTGTAAGTCAGAAATAAGAGAATTTGGAAAATATTTCGGAGACATATACCAAGCGACTATGTGAATGTTGGCATTCACCTGTGAAAGTCGACATTCTCCAGATTTCGGTGTTTTACCGTACCATATACATATATTATAATTGTACTCTTCTTCAAGTGCCTTATATGCATATGTATATCTCTTTTTTGCATTTTATAAATGTTGTGTGCTCAGCCGGGGCTACCCAGGACTGCGGCCTGGTAACTAGTGGTTGACGCCCGCCTAGTTGGTAACCAATTCTGCATGGATATATCTATACCTGGGTCGGAAGTCAACTCAGCGGTTTACCTGCCCTAACCACTGACCATTTTGTGTTCTCCTGCCCACACACAGCACTTAACTATGTCAAGCAAGCAGGAGCCAGATTCTGGCAAATTGGTTCCAGAATCTACAAAGTAACAGAGTTGCCCAGCGGAAACTGAAAACAATAATTGAGGACTTAACTAGCAATTACTCTTCTGACGCTGGAAGATAGTAGTCATAAAAGTCTATATAAGCTAGTTCAATATGTCACTAGAGTATGTGATATGTATGTTCAATATATAATTTTGTATTTATGCTGTGCCAGGTTCCCATACATAAACTTCGTACTGTATCTGAATGCTGTAATGTATCTGCACATGTTTATATCTTTTATTTATGGTACTTAATTTATACAGGCCTGATAGCTAGTGGTTGACTCCCGCCGAGTTGGTAACCAATTCTGCATGGATATATCTATACCTGGGTCGGAAGCCAACTCAGCAGTTGACCTCCTCTTTCTCTAACCACTATACCATCTGAGCGACCATTTCTTCACCTCATTTACGCTCTGTTTTGGTTCTTTATCGCTTCTGTATGGTGAAAGATCCCCGGATGAACAAAGCACTGTGCATTTTACAAGTTTTAAACAAAAAATTTTTATATTTGCTAAGAAGTGCTATGAATTGTATTGAATATGATTTATGTTACAGGCAAATGATAAGGATGTTCATGGTAAAACGAATCACATGCACTCGCTTCAAAGAATTCTGAGAACTACCAAAAATTTCCGAGTCAGATGCCGATGTTAAGAAGTAGAACTGATGTACGTTGAGTTTAAATGAAATAAAAATAATATAAATTCCTATAATATAACCTATAATATTTTTGTGTTCAAATTATTTGTAAACTATTTTTAACATATATATAAGGCAAAATCTCAAATTCCCGTAGCAAAATATATGCTAAAAATTCTCGACTTGTATACAAAAACATATGATCTTCGTTTTCTACATATAAAAATAATACAGTATTGAAAGGAATTGATCTTACTTAATGACATAAGGGAAAATATCAAGTTACGTTAAACATTAATTCAAAACAAATTAATGAAAGGTTATTTTTTATTAATAAGCAAAATCTATCGTATCAGAAATCAAGAAAAACAAATTTCTAAAAAAAGTGAAAAATTAGATATTTCCTTCAGTTTTCTTACTTGTACTTTCTTTCTACCATCCGTGAGCTTTAGATCTTAAATTCCCAACTAATCTCTTATGTTATCGTATAATTCTTCAATCCACCTTTAAGAAAACACAACTTTTTTGGCGACGTGACTTGCTGCTAATGTAATGGAATCTGGATCTATATTCGCTAAAGAGTTTCCGAGAATTTCTGTTTCTCTTCTAAAAGCTTTTTTTCAGAGAGAGTAGAGGGAAGGGGTCCCTTGAATTTCCATAATACAAGAAATCGCAGTTCATGTAATTCCAGACTCATATTAACAACTTCAAAAATTACCAAAATTTTAAATCGTTTTATGCTACATTATTATGTAGCATAAAACGAATATGTGCATCAAAATACTAAATTAATATATAATATATCTTTGTTCCTGGATAAATTTCAGTTCCTTCGAAAGACGAATGAGAAATTCTGAGATATATTCCCTGCTTGATCAACTTTTTGAACGTCTATCTTTTCCCCATGTGTAACGTGCATACGAGCCAGTTTCCCTTAGAAAGTCCTCCACGAAGGTATCCCTCCCCTTAGGCAGATAGCCTTAGTGTGCTTTGCCATAATTAAATACACCACCACACCATAACTGATAAATAATTTGACGACAGAAATTTGAAACAGAAAACGATGATTACCCAACTTATGTAAGAAGAATTTCGTCCAGGTAAGCAGGTAAAAATGCATGGGACACCAGAGATTTCATTACTAAATCGAGTAGTTATTGCCATAATACACTAATCAGCTAGGCTATGAAAAACTGGAATTGACTGTATGCCTTTTCGCGTAAGAAATACTGGAGTTTTGCATCGGAGTTGTTACATTTAAATTAATATAATAATAAATTAAAATTAATTAAAGGTATATAGCATAACATAAACTGTTCAGCATACGAATTAAAATATTGGATTATGTAAATACAAAAAAATTGATATTTTGGAGATCGTTCACTGGGATTTAGTTAACTGAATTCCTTGATGGAAAGGTGTATTTCGTGGCACTTAAAACTGAGGACAATTTGTTACGTAAATGTGTGTGAAATTTCCACACATTTACGAAATTCCTTGTTTTGGGTAACTCTGTCAATGAGAAAGAAGTGTAACAAGGGCTAGACGCACCACAGAAAAATCGTCAACAGAGAAATTAGTTACAAACTGATCTCTCTCTCTCTATTGTCCATTACTAACGCCTTCTTGCTAACACTCCATTAATATATTTCTGGATAGGACTCAGTTGAAGTTGAGGAAGAGAATTCAACAAAATCTAGAATCGAATGTGATCCACTAATTAAAACCTTATAGTTTAAACAAATAATTTTACACACTTATTCCTTCTTCTGCAAATTATCGTAAACGCTTTAAAAACAAAATCAGTGTATCTCTGTTTCATCAACATTAAAAACTGTATCCCAGAAAGAAAAAAATTGAAATAAAATCACTTGAACTCATACGTGTGCCAAGGAATTATTTTATCTGAAATAATATGGCATCATCTAGTACATAGTTATGTGAAAACAATTTATGTTTTCTTGTTAATTATTTGGATGGCGACATGCAATACAAAATTTGAAGCAAATTTTATTAATAGAAGAAAGAGTAATAAATAGTGAATGAAATGTAATCTTTGTAAAATACTAGCTCTTTTTAAAAGACTAAAAGTGGTAGGTGATATTATAGGTTTATTATTTAGCTTTGGATAGAAATGCATCATGAAAACCCCCTATTGTATTTTAAGGGAACATTTGGTAGTAAGTCAATCTTCTGAGAATATATTTACAAAACTTTTGACAAAGCGAAGTAAATACTTATGCGCTACTTATTCTTGCAGGATCAAATTCAAAGTTTCTTACAGAAAAAAAAATGACGATAAAACGTACTCTTTACATTTTTGATATCCATCCTTTTTTAAACATTTGCATCTCCGGAGTAGCCATTTATAGCTACCCACAGGGAAGAATTTTAGAAAATGTTTTAAATAAGATTATGAGAATAATATCCGTTGACCCATTGACCCATGCATTCACTTGAAAGGTGACGTCCTCATTTGCAAGAAATTCTATTGTTTGAAACTTCTATTGCTATGCTTCTTCATGTTTGTTTTCCTAAAAATACATGACCACTTTTCAGACAGCTTTTATAAGAACTGGGTCAGATTTTAAATCTGGATGATTGTTTTTTCATAAATTTAAAGAACACTTGCATGAGCGTTAGTAAATGTATTAATTGTGTAATTCAATTTTTAAAACAGAAAGAGAAATATTATATAAAATGCAGTCACTTCAATGAGTTTTAGACAAAGGGTACTTTATGGAATAAAACTTGTGGCTCTTCGTTAATATATAAATGACTAGTTAAAATAATTGCAGTTACATTTAAGGTAAAAAATATGTACATACGGTAGAACATTTTTTAAACATTTTTTAAAATTTCTATTCTTTATTAATTTTTAAGTAACTGCTTCTTTTTTCCAAGTATGTTATATAGTTTAGTAATCCTATAAATCCTACATTCATTTGAACAAAGTATAATTTTTATTCCATTAATCAAGCCAATTATATTAAGAGCAATTCATACATCACGCAAACAATTTTATGGTGCTCATCCCTTATAAAAAGTTCACTCTTTAAAATCGAAATATGCAATTAAGAATTTTTAATTACTATTTAATTGATAAGTAATGTAAATTAGATACATGGGACGATCTTTTTCTGGTATATCGTATTCAGATCTAAGAAATGATTCTTTTCTACAGTATTCTGACAAAAAAAAGCAGTATTCTGCTTTTGGATAAATGGTCCAACGAAGGCTAGAAATTCATCGAATTGATGAGGTTCATGTGAATGTAATTAGAAGAAATTTCGATGTCTTTCAAACGCATTTCTGTAATTAAATTGATATCGCAGTAAAAAGGTTTGATCATACATGAATTTTATTATGAATACATTTCTCTAGACTTAAACATATTTACAAGTTTTAGATGAGATGGCAACAGTATTATCTTTAGCATAACTTAGAAGTAGTTTTCGTTTACTTTATATTTCACAGGTTGGAGAGGCGATCATTGCGAATCTCCTTGCAAGAAAGGAACGTTTGGTTCAGAGTGTAAAGAACGATGCTCTTGCATGAACGATGGCTTGTGTAATCACATTGACGGAAGTTGCAACTGCACTGCCGGATTTCGTGGGTTGAAGTAAGATTTGAAATTCAATTGAACCCTTGGATTTAAAAGTTCATTATTAGTGACTAAACGATTGCCGACAGTATTTGAATACAAGGGTTCTACATAAATCTATTCAGTTTAATTAAAAAATAATACTTAGAAGTAATTCATGCAAAAATGTAAATAAATGGTTAAAATATTCATTGCTTTTTTCAATGTATAATGCAATAGTGAGCTTCTCAAACTCAAAAAAAAAAAAAAAAATGTCTCAAATCTCGAAATAGTTTAGTTAAATAAATTTAAAATTGATATTAAAATTTTAATAATCACAGTGAATCATAAGAAAGCAAGATCTTTCGTATATAATGTGCTCAGTTCGTATTTGCCTAATAATATTCTATAAATGACCTTCATACATCAAATAGATATATTCCGTATTTATATTGCATATAAATTATGCAGTACTTTGTTATATAAATACGGCTTCATACTGCAATTAATAAATCCATAGTAATTAAATTATTAAATAGTAAAATTTAAGGTTGCTTTATATTTTATCTAGTTTAATGTTTAGTTTAATTATTAGCATGCAGTTTTTCAGCCTTTATCAATTTATTTTATCAATTTAATTTTTTATGCTCTTTTATTTTAATAATGTTTATATTTTTAATAAATAATTATTATTTTTTATGCACATCTATTCATATTCGCTCGTAATTTGTAACGTTTTCTATTAATTTACGGGCACTTTTGTGTAGTTATTTATTTAATTATTATATTTAATAATTTTTAATATGCCGACTAAAAACCTTTCGCGTGTTAACATAAAATACATTTTTCAGAAACCTTGAGAAAAATATTTCCTCGCATTTTTGTGAGGCTAATTGAATAAACAAGAATTTGCTTTCTGATTTCCCTCGAAATTTAATTTTCAAATATTTCAGATCTTATTTCTCTCTTATTTAATTTCATAACTTCCAATTCTACATTCCTCTTTCTCTTCTTCATTTTTTTTAAAATCATTATGTCTTTTTCTTTGATAAATTTTGCTAGTTATGTGCTTCATTTCTACATATTAAGTTTGTACTTGTTTTGCAATTTTTTTTATTATTAACTACTATTATTATCTTATGAATTTATTTATTTTTAAATTCGATGTTAGCTCGTTTGATTGAAGAATCACTCTAATTTATCTCATTTTATAAGCTTTTTCTATAGATATATATGCATAAAACAGTAAACAATGCAATAAAATATCAGTACCATATTTTGGTGCATTAATAAGTAAATGAACTAACATTTAAAATACATTAATTTCTTTATCTATTAATTAGATCATATATTTGGAAACTGGTAAACAGGAAAAGTTATATTAACCCATATTTCCTCATCGTCCTAAAAATAGGACAGCACGCATAAATGGTACTTGTATAAAATCTTTGAAATAATTTAATTCAAATTTAAGGCGACTTACTATTTAAGAGTCATTTAACTATATATTTGTCTGTATCGTAAGTTAGAATTAATTTACATAATTTTTATTAATTTTTTAAATGAGGATTTTTGAAGATTTTTTTGCTTATGTTTCAATGCACAAATTTATTAACATTTTGAGCTCCAAGAAGAACATATAAATTTATTGAGATAATATTCCATACTTTTATAATAGTAAAAAACATTATCACAAAATTTTATCTAAAAGATAAATTTTCCTTGCATTTTTAACTGTCCTAAAATTTGGACGACGGTACAATCCACTACTACCAAGTACCCATCAGTTTGTAATGGAGATAATACTTTCTTTCTCTGTCACGTTCCAAACATTGCTGTCAGTCACTTTAGTCTACCTGGCAGGTGCACATCACATGACAGACAGGTGTGTGAAATTTGGGGAAGGGGGTTGAGTAAATGTTGAAGCATTGATCATGAAGTTAATTTGAATTCTGAAATTCATCGAAGTAGACTAACTTTCTCTCGTTTTTGCATGCTTGAATCTTGGAGAAGAATAAAAAGACAGAAAAGAAGAAACCAATTAAGAAAGTCATGAACGAGGCCATTATTTCATATAGTTCTCCTGAATTCGCTGTCAATAATTACAGACTCTGAGATACATAAGATTTATATAGACAATTTCTTTACTTCCCATGAATTATTATCCGTTCTTGCAAATAAAAATTCCTTCGCTACAGGTACTGTTACGGAACATAGAGTGTCTAAATGCCCACTTATACCCTCTAAAACAATGACAAAAATAGAAAGCGGTTCTTCAGATAGCAGTTTTGATTCAAAAAACAAATTTGTAGCAGCTTGATAGAATAACAGTCCTGTTGTTTCAGTAATGTCCAATATCAAACAAACAAAAAGTGTATCAGCCGTAGAAAGAAGAGGGAAAGTTGGCAGAAAATAGGTAACGATAAATGAATGTGCATTGCATCCTACAATAAATATGAAAACGGAGTTTATCTATTTCAGAATCGTGCAGCAGCTTATGTTACTTCAGTTCCACGAAAGAAAGGGTATTGGCCTTTATTTGTTGTTGTCGTTTATTTATTTGTTAATTCGTTTGAACATCATCTGTTGTTTCATGAAAGCTCAATCAGTTATTTAGTGATGCTAGTCCGAAGCCTGCAAATTTTTCGAAGACACATTGCCTATTTGGGACTTTCTATTCAAAGAATACCATCTTGCAAAAACGGGGGTGTTCAACAGGTTAATAAAGATTTTCTAAAGCTTCAAAATGAACATGTTATTGTGAACACTTATAAAGTAGACAGAGAAAAGACCAGCTAAAAACTTGCACAACAAATCCATCAACTGTCTGTAAAAAATATAACGTTGGGCTATGCTTAAGGTGCTTTCTTCCATTTCACCTAAGAAAGAATGATTAGTAGTGAATTATACCGTTGTCCTATTTTTAGGACAGGCTGTATTGATCAAAATAATAAAAATTTGGCAAGTTTCGTGATTTTATATGTATGCATAGACATAAAGAAAACATATTTAAGAATTTATAAAAAGTACTAATTTTGTCAATGCTTGGTATGATATGGGTTAAAAACTTCATGCACTACTAATACCGTTGTCATGCTGCTTATGCAGAATAGCAACCTTAAAGTATCAATAACTGGTGCTATTACGCATGTGCAGCACTGTGGAATGTGGAAAGCAATTCTACAAGGCAGCTATGCCCTTGCAACAATATATAGACACTATTAGGTTTCTCAGACACTATTAGGTTAATTCTTAGTTACAACACAACTGTAGAGGATATTAAAATATTGGGAAAAAAGGGGAAAACTAACTGTATGCCCACAGGGATTCGTAATAAAGATCTTCCAGCTACCAGCTGGATTACATTACTTACATTCGTTTGTGATCACTTATAAAGTACCTACGTTTGTTTGTGAGCACGTTCGAGACATGCGATTATTCTTTATAAGTGAAATAAGAGCAGCGAAGGTTTGTGAGATCTTTGTTTTACGAAAACTGAAATTAACACAAGTTTTTCGTCACACAAACTTGAGTATAGTGACGAGTACATGAGTCGCATATTAAGTATATAAATGGGCTGAGGAGATCGACATCTTTTGTCTGGAACATTCTCGCTCCGTTCTAGTAGTCATGTATGACACCATTGGAACCGTGGAGGAGGTGGTACAGGAAAACCGGAAAATTAAGAAGATAATATTTCTGTTGGACACTTACATGAAAATAAAATATTGGATTAGCACATAATATCGTTAATGACAAGGCGAAGGTATTGAAAATGTGTGCAAAATGGCTATTCAAGAGCTTACACCTGACTAACAGATTATCCTTCGGTATGAGGCTTACGGCGAAGCATTTTTGCAGCGTATTGCTACTGGAAATTACAGTTGGCCACACATTTGAATAGAAGCAAGTTCCAGGATGACATTTGAAGTTTGACTCGTGATGCAAGAATAGTTAGTTATTCATTAGAATGAATTCATTTCTTGTAGATTTCGTTGCATTTTGAAAATTAAGGGTTTTTAAACTTTTAAACTTTACACCTTAACCTTGATAGGTGCCGGACAAACTAACTAAAAAATCAAATTCATCATAAGACAATCGTATAGTGGTAGTACAATAAACCGTTGTGAGAACCCGTGTAAAAAGGGAAAAACAATTACAATAACTCCAAATTCAATAAGACTTTATGTTTCTTTAAAATGCCTCCCTGCTCAAACAAATGGAATTACAGCCCTCACCCCCCAACAAAAAATAGATACACAAGATAAATAAACAAATGCAATTAAATTCTAAAAAAACGCATTTATGATTTCTAGAATATTACTATATAACTAAATTTGGATAACTGATCAGTCAATCCTACCACATATTTTATTATGAAAAGTAACACATAATGCCACACACAATTACAGCTTACAATAATTAATAAATCTTAAGATGAAAAATAACACTCATTCATTACCAAAATTAACACACTTATATTAATTTTTAAGTTTACTATTTTTTACATTCAATAGCTCACTAATTAAGCTGGTAACGCAAACCTTTAAACCTTCATTTACAGACTTTGAATTGACTGGTCATTACTCAAAATATCCTAATCACTTAGTAGTTTAAACCTATAAAACAAATTTTTTTCTAAATAATTTGAAAAAAATAGAGAGGTAGACAAATTAAAAAAAAATCACTCACCGATTTTCCGGAACATATAATTTTGAGGGAATTGTCCAATTTTTCTCACGTAGGAAGTCTATTTCCTTGAGCCAACACCTTGATTTACGGTTGATAAACTAACACTCGCGCGTGTTAGTCCATTCTGCAGAAGAATTTCTGGAAACTAGGTGAAGTCCTCTTTGTAAAACTAACCGCCAGATCACGGAAAAAGTTCGATCTTCAGGAACATATTTCTGTGTGAAACGTCTAGTTCCCCACAGAAATATGTTCCTGCAAGCATTCTTTAGACATGCAAGCATTCTGTAGAAATTCTGTATGTTTGCATTCGACATGCAAGCATTCTGTAGAAAAGATTAATTTTATCCATTAGATTTTTTATTTCCTTTTAAAAGATAATACTGAAAGTCAGTCAAAACATTTTCTTCTTGAAAATCAGAAATTAACTTCCGTTCGATGAGATAAGTGTTCTGTATCTAAATAAAGCAGTCATTTCCTAAACGTGCTAAAATATATAATTTATTATTTATTATTTAATGAAAAATAAAATGCGTACTTTTAATATTGTTATAACTATTTCATTCATTTTTTTCTGAAATTTTTCTAAGCGTTCATTTTTGTTACAGATGTGATGAAATTTGTCCAAATGGAACATGGGGTCTAAACTGCTCCAATAAATGCCAATGTAAGAATGGGGCAAAATGTATGCCCTCAACAGGATATTGTGAATGTACACCGGGTATGATCCATTCCTATTTTCTAAAAATGCAGAAATATTTTTTTCTAAAAACAAGCCGCCATCTCTGAAACATTAAAGAGACCGAACTGAAGTATATAATTAAAATAATTAAAATAAAGCAGACACTTTTAATCTCGGAATATTGTTTTTTTTTCAGCAATTAGCAGGCGCGATATCCCCAGTTCTTTATCTAAGGAAAATATTGCTTTTAATCGTAACTCGGATGACGCTTATATCTCCGCTTATTTTGGAACGCTTCGCAGAAGTTCTAGATCGCCTCTGATCCTACATAGTCACTTTGTGCTGCGAACCCCCAGCATTACATATAATTATGGAATTTATAAGCAAGTATGAGAGCATGTGAGACCTTATAATTGGGATTCTTTAGCCATAATTGTTGATACGAATTGATTATTTGTGCTAACGAAGAATATTAGAAAATCAATTAATATAATCATTTCATATATACTTACAAAAGGAATTCATTATAAATATTGTTTTAAAATTTTGTTCGTCAAACATTTTCATTCTTAATGTTTCAATTCTTCGCGTCATCTCAAAATTACAAATTACGGGTGCTATACCTCCTAAATTTTCTCGAATTTTAATTCGAAATTTTAAAAGTTTCTTGAAACACTCTAACATTTTATACTATAAAAATAATAATCACAGAAGATTAAAAGAATAATATTGTTATATCTATATCATTCAGTTTTTTCGGAAATGTTTTTTCAGCATTTATTTTTATTATAGAGATATTTTTGCTCTGCAAGGTACTGCTCTGCTTATGAAGTTTAATAAAATTGTAGAATTACTGGAATGAATGTCTGCAATGTGTAAAATAATAGTACAACGTAAATAATAAACATGAAAGGATGGCTTTGTTTACCTACCACTGAGGAAGCGTCTCTTGTATGTTCTAATACGATGATAAATTTACCAGTAGTATTATTGCATTTTTATTTCGCTACATATTTTCCTGTTTTGGTTTTAGTACTTTATGAGAAATTCTAAATAAAAAGCGTGTTTATTGTTTTAGCTTTGAACGTCAATGATAAAACACATATCAGTTCCGAAGCTAAAAATGAAATTTAGTAAATGAAGCACATAATGAAATCCCATGAATCTTGAAGTTTGTTTTCCTAGGAATTCGACAAACATATCTGAACTCATTTTCAGACATTTTCAGAATTTGAAGAATCTTCGTAAATCGGAGCAATTCTAAAGACTCATATGGCATACTGTGCTGCTGAAACAAGATACAACATCGCTACAAAGCGCATCTGTCATGAGGAGATTTTTAAAATTGCAACATTTTTTAATTTTTTAAGAATGCTATTTCTGCGCATCAAGTGTCAAGAAAAATATTTCCTTAATGTTTTAGGTTAAAAACATTTAATCATTTTTTATACATAGATTCGAAAAAATAGATATAAGGCAAATTATAAATGAGAATTCAAATTTAAAATGTTAAAAATTTTTAAAGATTCGTTGGACAAGAAGATGAGGCAAATGAGGATTCTCATTTCCGCTATTAAGCAACTAAGTCTAGAGTTTTAGCCTGCTAAATCCTAAATAACATTGTATCAGCTTTTTAAGGGCGTTAATAAGTTTCTTCTTCTGAAGATAGTGAGAACCCCAACTGAAGTACCAAAGAAGGTTGTTGATTTGACTTTTATTCAGAATAAGACATTCTAAATGCTGCTGTCTGTTTCAAGGAAATTCACTTCTGAATTTCATCCTTGTATTAGTATTCTCAAGAGGTAAAACAGTAGATTGTGAATGTTTAAGATGAATAAGTAAATTTTAGTGTTTCTGTTTCTAGATTGACAATTGACAAAATATTTTTTCGAAATTTTACTCATAAAATGAAAATATAATTTAACAAAATTTAATATAATTTTTGTTTTGCATAGTATAGTTTTATAATTTAATTTAAATTGCGTAACAAACTAAGCTTACGTTCCGAATTTAATTTTTGAAATGTACTCTGATGAAATTTCTGCAATAAGTATTCAAATTTTGTAACAATAACAGCCAAATTTAACGACAGTTGTATTTATAGATTTGGTTGGGTTACTTTCTTTTAATAATTTCAGTCGATAATGGAAAGATAATGTTACAGATAATGTTTCTTAATACCCTTATAAAAATTAAAAATTAGTTTCTTCTACAGCTGACAGGTGACGGAAGATGGGGACGCCTGGTGTTTAACAGTGGTAAACAGGCATACGTTCCATGCCTTTCCCTGTATAAAAACAGCAACTTTATTGAAATTAATAAAAGTATTTACAGTGATGAGACATTGTGTTACATTGCAGTTTAGGATGCATAGCATGTCCTAAATAGTGAAGTGTATGACATAAAGAAGTTTAGTTTACATTAAGAAGTTAGTTCATTTTTTAATGTTGTCTGATCCGAAAATTATTTGAAGTGTTCATTCCATTTTTTGTAAGATTGTTGCAAAGCTTTTCACTTTGATATTTACCAAACTCCAGATTTCCGTCTTACACTTTTACCATGCAACTCAAAGGTATATCATAAAAACTTTTCACATATTTTCTAAATTGGATATTTTTTGTGCACTAAGAATTTAATGCTGACATGCTCCAGAAAACGTCTTTAGTCGGAGATCGTATTTCGCTTATATAATACTTCTAGCTATAGTATTTTGCTTATATAAGTTTATATTAATTAATAATAAACTGTTTATGGGCAAACTTGTGTTAAAATATAATTAGAATACACACAGTACAAAGGAACCTTTAGATTTTATCGTAAAAAACAAAACGAATTTGTATTTTATAAGCAGTTTTATGCCACCTCAATATCTTTAGTTTGAAAAATGTCCTAATTAAAAAAAACTTTCTCTATCTATGATTACTTTAATGTTAGTCCTCCTGAAGAACGATACGTAAATTAATCTCGAATGCATCCAACTTTATGAAACCTTTTATCGGATTGTACAAGAGAAGTCTGATTTTTAAAAATTTTAAGATCATTAGTTATGCATCAACATCAAGCACTTCAAGTATTCGTGGAGATCGCAATTTCACACTTCTGATTTCTGCTCATTAATCCGTATTAAGGAGAAAAACCTGAAAAATAACATCCTCTCTAATCGTTCTTGAGAAAAAAACACTTTAATTTATCATTTCGATTATGTGTTCTTACTGATATCTTATCAATGAAAAAACTATTGAAAACTAAAATTTATTTTCTAAAGTTACGAAAGACTTTCATATAGAGAATCGATAATTTTTTTTTTGTTAGTCTTACAGAGAAAAAAATGTCTTAAATCGTAAATGCTTTCAATACTTTTGTTTTGTGAATTTTGTGCTATTAAAAAAACATACTGCACATATAGATTTTAGATTTAACGCATCCTATGTTATCAAGGAAATTTAGAGGGGGGAAAAATCAATAATTTAAGAAATATTCTCTGGTCCAATAAAATTTTGAAACTCATTATATCTGGGTGTATTTCTCTTTTAAAAAATATTTCTTTTTATAAAAACGTAAAAATCATGCATCAGTTAATTTTTATGACAGATAAGAATTGGATGCGTAAAAAATTCTCGAAATATCTATATGCATATTTATATTTAGGAATCTATATCTATATATATTTTCCTGTACCTATTTATACCTATATACGTAGTAAAGTCAGAGAATGTTTTATGATTTAGCACTAATATATTTTTACATTTTGAAGGATATTTAATGATAAGTTTGGAATGCATTGTTTGGTTACAGTAAAAAAAAAAATCTAGACTATCTTCATAAATAAAGAAATACTGCTTTGAAGGATTTTCAAAGGGAATTTGACTGATATTTATGTTATACAGGAAAAAAACCGCGGATGGCTCCATGAGATAGCCCATTCGCTAACATTCGGATCCGAGTTGAACTATCTGTACTCGACGTTCTTTTATCCGCTTAGTTACTGGCGGTCCACCTATTTAATAAAATACTCATGCGCATTCAGGTCGATATGAAAAAGTTAGAAGCATGCTAAGAAAACATAATTTTATAATAATTATTTTTATGCGTTAGAAATGCATTTTAAACTTTTTTTGAGAATGATCACATTATTTAGTTATAATTCCAAAGACATAATTGCGTTATGGGTAATTTTTGCTGCATTTTCTTACAACAATGACATATTTTTTCTCTTCACTAATGCTTAGCATTTTGGTTGTAAGGGAGGCTGTGCGGTTGAAAGTGTCAAATGTATGTCTAATCTATATTGGTTTGACATTAAAGTAGAAAGCTTGTGTTGGACGATTCAAGCCTGCATAGCAAGCTTTGCAGTATAGAGAGAGGGCTCTATTGGCAATATCAATGATATGAGCTCTTTTTGTTGGATGTGGTTAGACTCGTTTTTCTTCACACGTTACTAAACACAGGACATTCAGAACATATTTCGTAAAATGAGGGATGAGATGGGCAGAGGATGAGCTTGCCCTTCCTCAGATCGCGCGGTATCTATTTTCTTGAATTTCTCTCCTTTCCTAATTGACGCAGATATAAACAGATAATTCTAACATTATAGGGTACCTTCGGAAAACGCGAGCGCATAGAGAAGAATCATTTTAGATAACTCTTTTCAAATAAATGTTATTAATAACTAGCAGTCTTCTCGACCATGATGCGAGTCAGAGCCTTGTTTTAAGCAATGGAGATTGAAGTGATGTATATAATTTCTCAGCTAGTAAATTTTACTTATAAACTGTCCAGTGCATGCACAATCATTTAGGTTTTTACAGCGAACATCATTGAAAAGTGACAGATGTTTGGCAGCTTGATTCAGCGAAAAATGCAGGAAATGTCCATACTTGCCAGTTAGCTCTCGCCAATCTTGGTTGAGCTTCCGCAAAATACTTCATAGAGAAGCTATTAGAAATAATATATTTTCTATCTTCACTAGAAGGTAGAGCTATTAGAGATAAAAGAATGAAATGAAAAAGTGGAATGAAAAGAGAGAAAGAATATTGCTC